AACTTCCTGGCCTCAGTGACTTTACTTTTTAGGGGATGCTTTTTTCTATAGCAGATTTAGGTTCATAGCAAAATGAGCAGAAGGTAGAACTCCTGTGCACCCCTGCTGCCTGCCCTTCCCCCCAAAAAAAACACACACCGCCTTTCCTGGTAGAGTGGAGCCCGTGTGACGGTGATGAACCTGCCTGGACACATCAGTGTCAGGGAGAGTCCACAGGTCCCTCGAGTGTCTCTCCTGGAGTGGGACAGTGTATGGTTTGGGCAAATGTAAAATGTTCTATATTCACTGTTAGAGCGTCACACAGAAGAGTTTTACTGCCTAAAAATCCTTTGTGCTTCCCCAGTTAATCCTTGACTCTCTCCTTCTGAGCAGCTGACAATTCCGGAACTTTTGCTGTCTCTATAGTTCCCCCTTTCCCAGAATGTCCTGTGGTTGGATCCTGCAGTTCGTGTAGCCGTTGCAGACCAGTTTCTTTCTCTTAGCCGTGTGCGTGTGACTTTCTCCAGGTCTCTTCATGGTTCATTTTTCCCTTCTTTTCTGTCCCTGGCCTCCATCAGGATCTGGAGCAGAAGCTGTCCCTACAAGAGCAGGATGCTGCGATTGTGAAGAACATGAAGTCTGAGCTGGTGCGACTGCCTAGGCTGGAACGGGAGCTGAAGCAGCTGCGGGAGGAGAGTGCACGCCTGCGGTGAGGGGGCATGGGGGATGGAGTAGCCTGTAGTGAGTCTGGGTTTGTGCCCAGGAGCACGAGGTGCATACCCCGTAGGGGCAGGGCTCCTGGGCTCTTGGCTTCATCCCCAGCGTGTGTGGCTATTTGAGCAACTCTTTGTGGCACTGCCAGGGAGATGAGAGAGACCCATGGGCTGCTCCAGGAGGAACTGGAAGGGCTGCAGAGGAAGCTGGGGCCCCAGGAGAAGATGCAGGAGGCGCTGGTTGGCTTGGAGCTGGAGAACGAGGTGAGGGTCTGCGCGGAGTGGGTCGTGCCCTTGCGTGATGGGGTGGGAGGCAGAATCATGGTTCCCAGAGAGGTCCATGCGTTATCCCCCGAGCCTGTGAACACGGCACCTTTCCTGGCAGGGCGATTGAGGTCATAGGTCAGCTGGCCCACAGTGGGGAGGGGCTCCTAGGCTGTCTGGGGGCTCAGAGTGACATCAGAGGGACTTGGCAGCTCCTGCTGGGTGTGGAGATGGAGGAGGGGCCACAAGCCAAGGAAGGTGGATGCCTCTGGAAGCTGGAAAGAGCAGTGGACTCTCCCCTGGAACCTGCAGAAGGAACTCAGCCCTGCTGACGCCAGGATTCCAGCCCAGGGAGACCCATTTTGGATTTCTGAACTAGAGTACTATAAGATATTCCATTTGTAGGCTTTTTTTTTTTGAGACGGCGTCTTGCTCTGTTGCCAGGCTGGAGTACAGTGGCATGATCTCAGCTCACTGCAACCTCTGCCTCCCGGGTTCAAGTGATTCTCCTGCCTCAGCCTCCTGAGTAGCTGGGACTACAGGCATGTGCCACCACACCCAGCTAATTTTTGTATTTTTGGTAGAGACAGGGTTTCACCATGTTGGCCAGGATAGTCTCAATCTCTGGACCTCTTGATCCACCTGCAGCCTCTCAAAGTGCTGGGATTACAGGCGTGAAGCACTGCGCCCAGCCTGCTTGCTGGGATTCATACCTGAATTTATGGGCCCAGGAAGGAGTGAGGCATGAAGGGCACAGTGTGAGGCATGAAACGTACAGTGTGACTTCTGCAGTTGGGGAAGAATAACCCGGCCACTTCCAAGCAGACTTGGAGCATTTAGTGCCCAGCTCAGAGATAAGGGTAGGCTCTCCTGAGAGGTCGGGGACTCAGCGCCGTGATCATTATTGTCAGTCTTATGTGATAATCCTGTGGCAGGCGATGACAGGGTCCATGCTTTTGTTCTTTTCAGAGGCTGCTGGCCAAGCTGCAAAGCTGGGAGAGACTGGACCAGATCACAGACTTGAATGTCAGGTAGGGAGGGGGCAGGTGCCTCGGGGTCCCACCTTCTCTGAAGGGTCGCTGGGGAAGAGCAGAGTCTGTTTCCTGCTCACGGGCACTGTCTCTAAAAGGCTGGTGGGGGCCTTTTGTCCTGGGCTGCTCAGGTTTAATGAGGCCTTTCCCAGTGGGTGGGGCAGTGGAGCTGAGCGACTCTTCCTGCTGAAGCCTTAGTAACATATTCATTGAGTAGCAGAATATCCACAGCAAACCAGTGGCAGGTGTCTGATTGCCCTGCATTGTGGGGCTTTGTGAAAGGACTCTTTCTGGTGTATCCTGAGGAAGAAATTGCTTTTGGGGAAAATCATTTATTTTAGGGAACTGTAACCAGTGGAGATGAGCTGAATTTTTAGAGTTCAGAAAAACCCACCATATTAGATGCTGTTCTTGCATCGCTATAAAGAAATACCTGTGAGTGGGTGATTATGAAGGAAAGCTGTGGAATTGGATCACACTTCTGTAGGCTGTGCAGGAAGCGTGGTGCTGACACCTGCTCAGCTTCTGGTGAAGCCGCAGGGAACTTTCAGTCCTGGCAGAAGGTGAAGGGGAAACAGGCATGTCACATGGCAAAAGCAGGAGCGAGAGTAAGAGAGAGAGAGACAGAAAGACAGAAAGAGACAGAAAGAGCGAGAGAGTGCACGAGAGCAGGGCTGGGAGGGAGGTGCCACGGACTTCTTAATGATCAGATCTCATGAGAACTTACTATCATGAAGACAGCCCCAAACTGTGAGGGATCTGCCCCCATGATCCAAACACTTCCCACCGGACTCCACTTCTAGCCCCAGGGATTACAATTCAACATGAGATGTGGGCAGGGATGGAGATCCAAACAGTTCTCACCCACCGTAGTGGAAGACTATTGTCTGGTGCTTGGAGCAGCCTCTTCAGCCAGTCTGTGCCAAGCTGAGTGCCAGCGCATGGGTGGAAGGATGTGAGGTGGAGCTGCCGGGGGACCACCCCGGGTGCTGGGGATGGCATTCTTACAGACGGGAGAGCAGGACTGTTCCCAGTTCTGGTCCTGTCTGTCCTACCCCATCCATCTCAAGGGCCTGTGCTCATCTTTCTCCAGCAGTGGCTTGGTTGGCTCCCGCCCTTCAGCCGCTGGGCCCCTGCAAGTGACTGCCTCCTGGCAGCTCTGGCCTGGGCCCCACTTTGTGGTTGCCCTGGTGCACCAGGTCTCAGGAAGGTGCAAGAGTGATGCTTTTGAGGGAGTCATCCGAGCCTCGGGCTCATGGCCTTGGTGCTGGTGCTGAGGCTGCCTCTTGTGTTTGCTTGTGAGATTTCAAGGCTTCCCGCCTCCTGCCTCTTTCCTGCTGCTCTGGAAACAAGGCGGAGACTGAGATGAGACTCTCTGAAAGAGCTGTCCAGTGACTGTACCATCGAACTGCTGGTTCTGGAATCCACTACCTTCCCATCAGCATTACTGGCTTCAGTTCTCAGTCACCTGAAAATGCCCCTTCATCTTCTTTGAGCTTTGCTAAATCAGAGTGTGGCCTGGGCAGCCATCTTCTTTTGAACTCCCCCTGTAGAACACGGACTTCGGCAGGGCCGGCCTCAGCGGGGCCTAAATGCTTTGTGCTTCTGTCTGTTCACTGGGTTTATTAATTGCTTGTAAGGCGACCCTTCTGCTTCCAGGGACACTCTAGCCAGATGAGAAACCTCTGTGACTTTTTGCTGCGAGGGACATCAGAGGCCCCCTCGTGCCTGATGGGCCTGGCCTTGTTGGACGGTCCAAGTGTGCAGTTTGCCCTGGAGCACTTAGCGTCAGTCAGGCACACAGACCTGGCACAGCTGGCTGCTGTCTCTGGTTGGTTACAAAGTACTGCTGCTCTATCAGCCTTTGCCCTGTTCCCGCATCTGAGTGTCTTGCCTGGGTGTGGCCTATGTGAGGGCAAGCTGGCCTGGGGTGCTGCTGGCTGGTGTGAGCGTGAGCTGGCCTGGGGGTACTGCCTGGGTGTGGCCAGCATGAGGACAAGCTGGCCTGAATGCTACCGTCCGATGTGAGGGCGAGCTGGCCTGGGTGCTGCCGGCTGGTATGAGGATGAGCTGGCCTGGGGTGCTGCTGACCAGTGTGTTCCGTGTTTACTCTTTCTATCCTGGTGGCCAGGCCCTGCATGGGGGAGAGGAGGGGTCAGTCTGCAGGGCTGGTGGAGGTGGGCTGCCTGTGTCCACTGCCAGCTTAAAGTGGGGTGGGAGGCAAGTGGCATGCATATGTGGTGCCCTGCAGCTTTGATGAGGAAAATAGATAGTACTTTGGGGCTGGGCGGGGCTGGGTTCAAGTCCCCTTCCCACCAACAGTAAGACCTGTTTCAAGTCACTGTGCTGCTCTGGGCCAGTGTTCTCGTCATTGAAAGGGGAACACGGAGTTCTCCTCCCCGCTGCGTGTAAAGATCAGATGCCATCGTGTACTTGTGGAGGGCCCTGTGAGTAGGAGACGGCTGGTGTGAGCGACCTCTCTGAGCAGCCAGAGGCTGATGTCCAGGAAGGGATGGAGCCATCCTTGCTGTGGGGGTTGACCCCTAGTTTCCTGCGTTGGCCTTGGCCGTGGGTCTGGTAGAGGGCAGGTTTCCCCACGTGCTCGGTCACCTGCCGAGCCTGGGCCCCTTCAGGGCTTCCCACCACTCCTTGTGTTTCCTGTGCACCACAGGGTGGGTGTCTGAATGTGGTTCTGATTCATGCTCGATGTTAGTGGGGGTAGCACCCATGTCACAGTCCCTGGGAATGCAGGCTGGGGGTACTGAATGCGGCTCATAGAGGGTTTGGTAAATATGTGCATTTCTGGCTGGGCACAGTGGCTCACGCCTGTAATCCCAGTGCTTTGGGAGGCTGCAGCAGGGGGATCACTCTAGCCTACATGTTTGAGATCAACCTGGGCAACATAGTTGAGACCTGTCTGTACCAAAAAGAAAGAAAAAAAATAGCTGTGTTCAGCGGGGCACACCTGTAGTCCCAGCTACCCAGGAGACGGAGGTGGGAGGATCACCTGAGCCCAGGAGGTCAAGGCTTCAGTGAGCCGTGATCACACTACTGTACTCCAGTGACAGAATGAGACCCTGTCTCTCAAAAAGAAACAAAAAATGCATTATTTCTGGGTAAACCACAGATACACTGGGCTGTCTTTCTATTTTTAGGGACCAGATTTGGGGCAGTTCTTAGGGATTTCTGAAGCCCATGTCAGGCAACATTGAATGTGGCGATGAAGTGGGCAATGGGGACACAGATGCAGTGAGTAGCTGGGGCCCCGGGCGATAGCTGCTGCCTGTGGTCCTGTGGGAGGGGTGAGCACACTTGCTGTTCATGTGTAGAGATGCGTGCTTCTGTGGGTGAGCTTGGGGATCCCCTCCCCTCAGCTGTGGGGACCTGAGGTGACATCACATATCCCGGAAGCAGAGGGCTCAGCAGCTGGGAGTGCCCTGGGCCTATGCGAGTGGGCTGGCATCTGCTTACCTTCAGGCCCAGGCCTTGCTGGGATTTGGGGCTTGCCGAGGCCCCAGGCCCCGTGGGTGCAGAGCAGCTGCTGCCACTAGGTGGTGCCCCTGCCTTGGTGATCCTTCCCACAGCCATTTCTCTTTGGTCTCTTTGGCCTTGTGTTCCCACCACCCTCCCACCATGGGACTTGCTTGCTGACACCAGGGTTGTAGTTGATGGGGATGTGAGGGGCCTGTGGCCACTGTTCCTGCCTGCCTTTAGTGGGGTGCTTCTGGCTGTCTCATGCCTGCCCGGTTTCTGACCAGCATCCTGGGGACCCTCAGGCCCCAGGGCTATGAGCCCCTGGTATTGAGGCCAGGTGTCCTCTGTATGGCCCTTCCCTAATGACAGGACTCTGGTGTCCTGCAGTCCTCAGAGGGCTCTTTGGCCTCACCCCGGACTTGGATGTACCCTGCCTGAGCCCCAGGAGAGAGTGGCCTCCTCACCCTCTTCCCCATGTGAGGCTTCTTACGTCTTAGGAGAGGAGGCTGGGCGAGTTGGCTGGGGCGAGTCAGTGAAACCATGGGAAGACCCCGTGGAACGAGGTCCTTATGTGTCACGCAGGCCTGGGCACATGCGACATGTCCAGCACACAGGGTCATGCAGGTTGTGGGCATATTAGTTTCTACAACTTTGAAGTCACAGGCAGGAAGGGGACACTGCGTGTGGATGAGCCTGTGTGAATACATGTGGGGAAGGGCAGGATGCCAGTGCCAGTAGTGTGATGTTGATACGCTTTCCCTTAGGGTGTTGGGCACTGGGCTGAGGGAGTTAGCAGCAGTCTGGCACAGGAGGAGGAGGAGGTGTAATCAAGAGAGGCCAGTGGGAAAGATGTGTGAGAGTGGAGGCCATCTGGGAATGCAGGGTGCTTCTCTTTGGAAAATCACCTATTTCAGTAGAATGAGAAAGGGGTGCAGGCCATCTCTGTAGGCAAGCAGCACAACCATTGATAACAATCCCAAACGCATTTGTGGTTGAAAATTCTCAGCAAGCTAAGAAGAGAAGAGAAATTCCTCAACCAGGTAAAAGACACCTGCGGAAAACCACAGCTGATATAATATAAGGGTGAAACTGACTGCGTCCCTGACACAGAGACCAGGCAGGGTGTCTGTTCCCGCCACCCCTGGTCGCACTGTGCGGGAGATCTTCACCAGTATAATTAGGCAGGCAAAAAGAAAAGGTAGCTAGACTAGAAAGGAGGAAGTAAACCTATACCTGGAGACAACATAATGATCTGTAGAAGTTTCCAGAGTGTCAATGACAAGCCAGTAGGACTAAACAGTGAGGTTTACAGGGTCACAGCATACAAGGACAGTGTACCAAAATAGGTTACGTTTCCGTATGCTAGCAATGAGCCACTGGAGTACATACCACATGTGACGGCATCAAAGTCCATGAAAATACTCAGGGATGCATGTAAGAAAATCTGTGTAAGATTTGTACACTGAGAAGCTTCAGATGCAACTGAGACATTAAGATCACCTAATATAAAAAAATAGAGACATCATAAGGGGAAAAAGGAACTCTTTTCCGCTCTGCTCTCACATAGCCACTGACTCAGTACTTCTGACATCAGATACTGGAAGGTTCCCCACACACCAGCCAGTTCTCCAGGGGATACCAGCTGGGTGTCCTGCAGCCTCATCTGTACTCTCTCCACCTGGAGTTAGTATCAGCTCCCCCGGGATCAGGGCCAGTCCCACACGTCTGGGCCCCACTTCAGATTCTGATTGCAAGGTAGTAGGCTGTCATCTATGCTTCATTGTACTGTTTTCTCCTCTCCCTCTGTCACTGACATCAGCTGTACTTCTGACTAGCAGGCTATTAAAGGAGGCTCCTATAACCCATTCCTTGGGTTTAATTAATTTGCTAGTGTGACTCTCAGAACTCAGGAAGACATTTTCTTACGTTTACTCCTGTGTTATAAAGGATGTTAGGATGCCTGAATTGAACCTTAGAAAGACTGGAAAAAAAAAATAAAGGATGTTAGGAATAATTCAGGTCAACAGGTCTGTAGAGTGAGGTACGAGGGGAGGTGTGGAGCTGCCATGCCCTCTCTGGGTACACCACCCTCCAGGACCCTCCATGTGTGCAGCTCTGAACCCTGGCCTTATTATGGGTTTTTACAGAGGCTTTGTCACATAAGCATGATTGATGACACCACTGGCCATTGGGAATCAACTCAACCTTCCGCCCCTCTCCCCTTCTGGGAGATTGAGGGGTGTGACTCAAAGTCCCAACCCTCTAATTCCACCTTGGTGTTTCTGGTGACCATCCTATCTGAAGCTGCCTGGGGGCTGCCAACCACCAGTCATGTGTGTCAAGTGTATATTTCAGAGTATCATAAAGATACCATGTTCATGTATTGGAAGGTTCATGATTGTTAAGATGGCAGTTTGCTCAAATTGTCCCAAATATTTGACATAATCCCAAAAAAAGCCCCAGCAGGCTTTTTGGGTAGAAATTGATGAACTGATTGCTAAAATTTCTTTTTTTATTGAGACAGACTGTCGCTCTGTCACCCAGGCTGGAGTGCAGTGGCACAGTCTCGGCTCACTGTAACCTCTGCCTCCTGTGTTCAAGTGATTCTCCTGCCTCAGCCTCATGAGTAGCTGGGATTACAGGCACATGCTACCATGCCCGGCTAATTTTTTTATTTTTATTAGAGATGGGATTTCACCATGTTGGCCAGGCTGGTCTTGAACTCCTGACCTAGGTGATCCACCCTCTTTGGCCTCCCAAAGTGCTGGGATTACAGTTGTGGCCGAACATTTCTAACATTTCTGTGGGAATGTAAAGCACCTGTAAATTGTTATAGCCATAACAATTTTGAAAAAGAACAAGTTATAGGGCTTACACTGGCCAATTTCAAGACACGTTGTAAATTGCATAACTTGAGACAGTGTGGTATTAAGTATAGACGTATGTAAATCATTAGAACAAAGTGGAAAGTTCAGAAATAATTCAAGAATACAGTGTTGATTGTTGTCAAAAGTGTCAAGGTAGATCAGTGGGATAAAGAGTCTTTTCACGAGCATGGTGAACCAGTAGGCTGCCTCATGCTGTACACAAGATTTAACTGAATGATCTGTTGACTTATGTAAAAGTCACAAAATCTGGAAGCTACGGTTTGGCAAAGAGGTTTTAGGATACAATGAGCATGAACCAGAAATGAAAAAATTGATGAATTAGACTTCATCAAAATTGAAAACTTCTATCCAAAGACACAAATGAAAAGGCAGACCATAGACTAGGAAAATATTTGTGATATATTAACATGCATCCGCCCAAAGATGTGCTCCAGGATAATAAAGAATTCTCAGAAATTAGTTAACATAGTATAAAAAATGGTCAGAAGACTTTTAACAGATACTTTATTTATTTATTTGGACATGGAGTCTTGCCCTGTTACCCAGGCTGGAGTGCAGTGGCACAGTCTTGGCTCACTGCAACCTCTGCCTCCCGGGTTCAGGCAATTCTCCCACCTCAGCCTCCTGAGTAGCTGGGATTCCAGGCGTGCGCTACCATGCCCAGCTAATTTTTGTATTTTAGTAGAGATGGGTTTCACCGTGTTGGCCAGGCTAGTCTCGAACTCCTGACCTCAGGTGATCTGCCTGCCTTAGCCTCCCAAAGTGCTGGGATTGCAGGTGTGAGCCACTGCGCCTGACCTGCTTGTAACAGATACTTTACAAGAGATGGTATGCAAATGGTAAATAAGGACATGAAAAGATGGTCAATGTTGTTGGTTATGAGGGTAATACAAATTAAGACTGTAATTGCCCAACACAGTTCTTCTTGCTTCCCAGAAAAGCTAACTCACTGTGAACAGCAGGTATGACAGCAAAGAAAGAGTTTAATGATTGCAGAGCCAGGCAAGGGAGGTGGACAAGAGATAACTCTCAAATCTGCCTCCCTGAGAATTCGGAGGCGAGGGTTTGAGGATGTTTTGGTGGACAGCGGCCTAGGGAGTGGTGAATGCTGGTTGACTGGGTTGGGGATGCCATCATAGGGGTGTCAGGACTGTCTTTATGCAGTGAGTCAGTTCCTGGGAGATAGGGTCACAGGTCCAGGTGGCATCTCTTGAGCTGCTGAAATGCTAAATCTGAAGAGCATCTCAAAGACCAGTTCTTTAGGTTTCACAATAGTGATGTTGTCTGTAGGAGCCATTCGGGAAGTTCTGAATCTTGTAACCTCTGGTTACTTGACTCTGGGCAGCAGGCACTATAGAAGAGCAAGCTAAATAAGCAGAGGCAGGCGGTGGTTTAACTGTGCTTGTTCTCTAGCAAAGTTCAGGCCTCTGTGGTGATGCCAGTCTTAGGAATGTGGCTTTAATCTCCAAACAAGGAGGGGTGTCAGTTTTCCTTGCCTTGAAGTTTAACTATAAACTAAATTCCTCTCATAGTTATCTTGGCCTCCGCGTTAGAATAAGCCCCCCAACCCCCTCTGAACAAAAAAAAATTTAGCCTGTGAGGTTAGAAGCAACATGGAGTCAGTAATGTAGATTTCTCTCATTACTTAAAATTCAGTAAAGGTGGTTTCAAGACCACAGTGACATACCACTCTGTACACAGTAGAATGACTAAAATGAAGCAGACAGACCATCCAGACTGCCGGCAGAGACGCAGAGCAGCCAGCCCATCAAACTGGGAGTAGGAAGTGTTACGCCACTTTGGAAATGGTTTGGTAGCTTTTTACACGCTTACGGTATGACCCTGCAGTTCCATTCCTAGGTATTTAACCCAAGAGAAGCCCAGGAGAAAATGTGACGTCATGAAGACTTGTACAGGGATGTTTGTAGGAGCCTTAATCTAACAGTCTGAGAGCGGCAACAAGTCAGGTGCCTGTCAGCAGGTGAAGGGATGCATGGACCGTGGCGTCTCCATGCAGTGGGGTGCCACTCAGTGTAACACGCGACAGCAGCTGTGCTCAGAAACATCAATGAGCCTGTCTTGCTGAGTGAAGGAAGCCAGACTTACTGACTTTATACTTACTATACGATTCCGTTTAGTTGAACTCTTTAAAAAGGCAAGACTGAGCAACAGTGACAGAAAGCAGGTCAGTGATCCCTGGAGTCTTGTGTTGGGTTAAGATCGGGGGCCTGCAGGAGTCTTATGGGGTACTAGAAATATCCTTTGACATGATGGACGTGATAGCTGCATAGGTGTACACGCAGCAAAGCTAATGCCACTGCTCTTGTGAAACAGGTTCATGTGTGCACATCAGACCTCCCTCAAGCTGGCCTGCCAGCAGCAAGCTCCTTGGATTAGCTGTAAGCGGAAGGAAAATTCCTTAGTGGCGACTTGGACTGAATTGGAGAGTGGCCTGGGGGTGCTGTTTAAAGCCAGCCTTCATTTGGGAAGGGACCCATCCCTTGAGCTTATGGAAGGCCTAAGGCCACGGCTGCCGGGACCTCTTGGGTCTTTGGCATGTGGGCATGAGTGCCGTGGGAAGTGGCAGCATGTGAGGCCAGGTGCAGGCTGCAGACGGTCAGGGAATTTCACATTTGATTAAAAGCAGAACAAGCTACATAAATGTTAACAAATGAAATGAAAAGTGGGATGTTGTCATCCTTTCCTTCCCTCCCTGGTGACCCCACTCAGGGATGGGTGCCCCATGTGACAGCTTCCTGGCCATTGTCACATTGTGTTCTCATTATTCCTTGGGGAGCTGTTCCAGAGCAGAGCTGATTGCCCCAGAGGTGGGCAGCAGATCATGCTGTCCTCGGCCCCAGTTTGTCTTTCTAGGCAGTGCCTGATGAGTTTCTTGTGTATCATTCTGGAAATGTATGTACGTACAAGCTCTTTATGTACCCCCCTCGCCTTTTAAAATGGTGCTCCTTTCATAGTTTTATTTTGCAATGGTTTTCACTCAGTATTTGACAGTTTTTCAGCCCAGCACAGGCTGTTCTGCTGAACTGCTTTAAAGAGCTGCCAGGTAAGCAGGAGTGTAGACGGACTCAGACTCCAGCAACCCCTCTTGATGGGCGCTTAGGGTGTTTCCAGCTTCTTCCCCCAATTAACCATGCTAGGCTGGTTGGGTAAATTCTTAAAATCAGAATTTTTAGTTCAAAAGAGATGTGCATTTGAGACTCATAGCTGGTGCCGTATCACCCTCCCAAAAGCCTGTCTGCTGTCCGTTCCTGTCACGGCTTGAGTGCTGTTGCTTAATGGGGGTGGTGTGCTTTCAATATTTCTAGGGAGATTCAGATCGAAGTCACAGTAAAGTGAGTAGAGAAGGCATCTTTAGTGTCTTGGCTTTTCAAAAATGCCATTTAGCAGCTCCTCCTGAGGGGGACCCTATGAAATAGGAACGAAGTAGATGTCAAGTCCTGTGGCTGAGCCCCCACTTTAGGGAAGAGATCATTTGCTTTTGGCCAAGATGCCATGAGCAAGATGTTATTTGGCTTCTTGCCTGTCCCTTTGTGCCTGAATGTGGTCTTGCTTCCCATCCCGCTGGGTGGGCAATGTACCTATCAGCAGGCGCAGGCCTGAGCGGGGTTGAGGAGGCTGGGCTGGGGAGGTGGGAGGCGGGCGGTGGCAGCTAAGAGGCCTGGCAGCTGTGCCAACCTGGAACTGCTGACCCATCCCCTGGAGTCAAAGCTGAGCACCTGTCAGTGCTGAGCTGGACATTTTCCCAAAAACATTTGTAGACTGGCCAGATGACAAGTATCAGGGCCCAGCTTCCCTGATGTGTGAGGCCAATTAGGAGGACAGTGAGTGAGTTGCATGATTTTCCTCTAAGGAAGGGTCTACTTGACCAGCCGGGATACATTTATTATCCTAGTTACGGTGCGCGTGGTCTGTAATTACCCGGCTATTGAGTTGATCAATACCAGACGCCCTAGTGGTGCTTGGGAAGGTGGGTGGCTGTCAGGTATGTTGGTCCATTTTAATTGGCACCGGTTTGGTTTTCTTTGGGGCATGGGAGGAGGCGGAGAAGCATTTGGCCTTCTGGGTGCTTGTGTGAGTGCACCCTTTCTTCCTGTGTTGCATGCCAGATGCCTTGGGGTCTGGGCCACGTTTCCCCTTTTGGTTTGTTTGTTCATTCATTCATTTGTTCACCATAAGCTGCTCTCATGGAGCCTGTAGTCTGGAGGGAGAAGGACCCCTCAGGCCTGTGCATCTGTGGTGTGCAGGTCAGGTCCCAGGCCCTTGGAGCTGGACTGTGGTGAGTGTGCTTCCCTCCAGAGAAGCAGGCTGGGGTGGCACACGGACCAGGTTCCCAGCTCTAGCCTTGTCCAGAGGTGCAGGCTGGGGTGGCCTACGAGCCAGGTTCTCAGCTCCATCCTTGTCCAGAGGTGCAGGCTGAGGTGGGGCATGAACTGGATTCCCAGCTCCATATGCATCCAGAGGTGCAGGCAGAGGCCGGGCATGAGTGGAGTTCCCAGCTCCATCCACGCATGGTGACTTCTCCTCTCCACCCCAGTTCCTCCTGTGGCTGAGTCCTGGCCGCTTTCTGCCTTGAGGTTGTGTTGGTTTTCTGTAAACTCATCCTCTCAATCCCGAGCTTTGTGAGTTAAGAGCCCAGGTCTCCCTTTAGCGCCCTGTGCTGGGCGTGCAGTAGGCACTTGCTGAGCCTTTGAGGAGTGGAGGACCGAGTGAGGGGACTCTGTACCCCACTGTTGGTGGTGATGGATGGGCTGAGCCTCGGGCGCTCTTGGCTGCTGTGACAGGGCCCCCCTGGGGCTACTTGAGCTGCACTATCCCAGCAGGACCCCCAAAGCAAGGGCAGCAGAGAGCTTCCTGACAGCTGCCTTGCTTTGGCCATGGCCCTGGCTTGGGTGCAGCTTGTGCCCTTCTCTGTTCCCTTGTGAAGTTTCAGATGGGTGTTTCCAGCAGCGCCAACAGGCTCACCCTGGGGAGAGCACGTCACTGCTACTGGGTGGCTTTGTTTAACACCAGCCGCGTCTCGCAAGTCTCAGGCACTTCTGCGAAATATTCTCAGAATCCTGTGGTAACCGCACACCTGGCAGGCCCAGCCAGCACCATGCCGCCCACTGGTAGGGGCAAGTCACCCTGGGTGACTTGGGTCGAGCTTCATTCCAGGTGGGGTTGGGCAGGCAGGAGACTGTCAGAGTGTGGGGACGGTGCTGTGGGTGTTGGGACCTCGTAGGGAGATCCTAGAGAAGTGCTTCCCAGAAGAGGCTTCGGGGCTCCACCTCTGCGTGTTCCTGGCCGCACAGACAGCTGAGCGCTCCACGACGTGTCCGGGTAGCAACGCTCTGGGTCTCACTTGGTCTCAGAGCACTTTTTGGGGCTTTTCTCCAAGCTTTGTAGATAGGGTCTTCTACTTCCAGGCCTCTTTTTAAATTGATTTTTAAAAAGTCTGTACCCAGATAGTGACAGGCTTTAGACAAATCCAGCTACCATAAGTTCTAGGGTTTATTTTAGAGGAGGCGGTGGTCTCCCCGGTGGTATCTGGGCTGGTTTTTACTCTTGGGTACTTTCTGGGGTCCTGTTGTGTGCTGGCCTCTCCTTGTGGGCTAGGGGCTCCCAGGGTGCCCAGGTCCCTACTTTTACAGGTAGAGCAGGGGTGTCCTGGGCTGGGATGGAGGAAGGGTCTGGGCTGTGTTGTGATAGGGCTGGTAGGAGCAGGATTTTGACAGGCAGCTTGCAGCAGGCACTAGCTGAGGGCCAGAGGCAGAAGCCGAAGGCCTCCCTTGGGGTGCCCACTACTGCCTGCCATGCCTCCAAGGACTTTCCAGCAATGCCATGGCCTTCAGAGGGCTGGAGTCTCAGGCAGGTTACAGGGAGCTCTCCACCCTACATTCCTCAGTGTCAGCTTTGGGGCTGCGAGGTGTGACCTCTACAGGATCACCTGGGGCCACTCCCTTTGGTCAGCTGTAGCTGTCATTTGTATCAGGAGCTGCTGGTCTTGCCTGCACCGCCCTCTCCACCCTCCACCCACCCTGCATGGCCCAGGTTCTTGGGAGGAATGGGTGATCCCAAGCTGTTGAATTCCTGGAACC